GACCACCGTTCAGGTCTCGTGGCCTTGGACTGTCGGGCTCATGGCCAGGGTCACAATGAGTGCAAGTGCGGATGACGAAGTGGAGGGGGTGGCAAAGCGGATAAGTCTTAAGAGGAATCACAGAAAATGGTGTAGAGCAAAATTGTGGAGACGCACCGGTGACACTGTTTTGAAGCCGGGCATAACACGTCCTTGGAAGATTGAGATGATGGCAACGCGCGAGCCAGCACAAGAACTGTATAGAAAGTAATTGGTACCCCACAGTGGTTTAACATGAAGGAAAACTTTAGCAGATTGGAATGAATATATGATAGAAGCGGCTGAGGTGCTGTATGTATTTTGCATTTAATGGAAAGATTGGGTGAGACAGCAAGGTCGAGAGAGGGATTGGAATATTAGCGGGTATGCTATCAAACTGAGTATGGCGGTGCCGTGCTACCATTAGCCTGGCGTCCTTAGAATGCCTGCAAAAATAACAGAAAGTCAAAAGTTGTCACATTCCCTCACCACTTCAATGATGTGACAGCTCCATTTCAAAGACGAAAATCGATGTTTAGGTGCGGATGATAAGTTCATGGTCGATGCGAACTGGTGTGGGCATAGGTGTGTAAATGAAGGCATTAACTGGATTGTGCGTAAATAAGATAGTCTGAAACCTGGAGAGACATGAGATCAGAGGTCCTTGGTGTTGGTGCATGTTTGCTGGATGAGCTGAACTCAAATTTGAGCCGTTTCAGCCTAAAGAAAAGCGTGCAGCTTTGATAAAATCGTTGACTCTGCGGCGTCATATCGCGTGTATTTGCTGCGTTTCGTAGAATCTTTTGTCATCATCTATTACCGGATTTTCTGATTCATAGAGGTATTTCTCGGGATATATCCCACAAGCAGGGCAAGCTCAAACCGGAACCAGGCGTCCAACGAAAGTTGCTTTCAAGTTAGCTTCCCCTTCCTTCATTGCAGAAGGTGGATTGTGGGGTTCATTATGCGGGAGGAGCATATTTTGGAGGGAGGATATGCAGTTGGAGTGAGAGCTGTCAACCGTGCGGTATTTCGCATCATCGTGGACAGTTGGTGTGCAAGGTGTGTACGCATTACGGAAAGATATATGGAGGTCCAGAAGCTTGCGTACAAAAAGCGGCGTCTGTTTAAAGCGCCCGCTCTTCATTCACGCTTAACTTCGTGATCAACGTCAAGTTAGCTTCCCCTTCCTTCATTGCAGAAGGTGGATTGTGGGGTTCATTATGCGGGAGGAGCATATTTTGGAGGGAGGATATGCAGTTGGAGTGAGAGCTGTCAACCGTGCGGTATTTCGCATCATCGTGGACAGTTGGTGTGCAAGGTGTGTACGCATTACGGAAAGATATATGGAGGTCCAGAAGCTTGCGTACAAAAAGCGGCGTCTGTTTAAAGCGCCCGCTCTTCATTCACGCTTAACTTCGTGATCAACGAGATAATGGGACGAACGCTGAAATGTCTTCAGATCCCGGATTTCAAATATCCTTTAGCAAAAATTTTTTTTGACCTGGAGTATGCAGGGATTCTCCTCATCTTCGAAAGGAGGAGAAAAGGCGTGCGCGTTTTTTAATGAACTGACCAAAGTCGTTTTGCCATTCGGTGTGTGTTCTGTACCCACAACTTGTCACGTTATCATAATGGCGTTTATTCCTAACAGTTGGGTGGTGTACATCCAGGCATGATCACAAGATTATAGCCAGAATAAAGCGTGAGTCTGTTTGCAATTGCAGGTAATGGGACAAATGAGTGATAGGGTACAGTCAGTGGAAGAAGGGGGATAGTTGCGGGTGCGCTATGAGACCGGGTATAGCAGTGATACGACATCATTGCGCGTAGATAGCTTGGTTTCCGAACAACCCCGTAACGGATGTCATTTTTGAGCTGATTGGGCTAGGGTATGTAATTTTGTGAAGAGCGGGATATTTTGGTTTGAAACACCTATGGCATCAAGGCAGTATATTGGTGAATATCAAGAAACATGTGTTTCAGGCTGCATTACGAGCTGTTCTGTTGTACGACTGTGAGTTTCAGCCTTGTTGGGAAGCGGAACCAAGACGTTTTTAGGCGTTTGACAACTGTTGTCTCAAAACCATATCTCGTCTGAGTCAGTGTCGGCGAATCCGTAAGCCGACCGTTAGATAGCGATTCTTTGGTTGTGCAACGGGATTTCCACTGAAGATTGTATCCTTAAAGTCTCCGGCTAGATCATTATCATTATCTGAGACATTTGGATCGCATCAGTTTCGTTTAACTTGCCAGCTTATTTATTCGTATATAGTCGACATGATTTCGGAAGTGAAGCTGTTTTGCAATGCTTCTGCTATATCTTTTTTGATAATATACCAATCAGACACGTCAGATCACCGGAATTTCAGAAGAGTAACAACGTCCAGAAAGTCATACTGCAAACAAGTGAATCGTTGCGAAGTACGGAATTCAACTGAAGCAGAATATGGAAAGAGCTAAAAGTCCAACAGGATTCGGTGAGAGGCTGAAATGTAGAAACAAGTTTTCGGTATACAAAACAAGTCGTTAGTGAAACGGATTTGTTCGTTTGGGGGCGGTCCTCCCAACAACTTTCACACGAACGAAGTATTGGGTGAAGCCCAAAAGGGTGCCTCCTTTTGGTTAGCTTGCTACTGTGGTTGAGTATGGGTATCAGAGAGCGTAAATCGAAATAAATGGGGATTAGGTGCTCTAAACGAACGGGCTTGGCACGCGTGAACCCGTCCACTCACCAGATCTCCGCGATAGCTGCATCCGCGGGTGCACGTCTGTGGGTGCGTGTGGCCGTTGGATCCTATGGCTCAAGTCCACACCACTTAATCTTACGGCTGAAAAGTATACACTCCTCTTTAGTTTTAACTTAGCTGCACCCAATACTGCATATGGTTGCCGAATCCACTATCGAATTATCAGTGTACACATGGCTCCCTCGTTATCGCCTATTGGACTATGTTAAGGAAGTAGTGAGTGTGCGTTTATAGCAGTGTGTCTCCAGGTTCAGCGTGGACGCCGGCCGGGGATTGTGGACAAATGTATTTGTTGAGCACTTGGTGAGTTAGCCACTATGATATTGTTTACCTGTGTGTTTCAACTGATGTCGCGGAAGATGTGTACGAGCCGCAATTAGTTGTAAATTTTTAAGGAACCCTGTGGAGTAAAAAATTGAGAACTTGATTGTCCAAGCATTGTTTGTACCGATGCAACCAATAAATATAAGACGATTTATTGAAGGTGGTCGTGTTTTTTTTCAGGCATTGTGTTGGCAGTTGGGCGACGTATGGATGTGGAGGACCGCCGTTGGTCTCCGGATTGGTCTATTATGTATATCGGGGATAGTATGGTCAGCTACGAGCATGTGGATGGGCCCGGCAGTTACTATAAGTAGCCTGGGCAGGTGACATTGAGCATGGTTATGAGTATGATGGGTTGCCATTGGTCATTGGAGTGTGCTACTGGGCATACTTGAAGCTTCACACTCAGCGTTGTAGATGGAGACAGGCCAAGCAATTACGATAAGTAGCCAGTGTAGGCGATATCGTGCACAGCCATGAGTATGAAACCCGTTGTCCGCCATTAGATTATGTATGTGCGCATAGTTTAGGCCTCGTATTCATCGGTTCCCATAAATATTGGCCCGATAAGCGAAAACGCGTGCAGTCACGAATGCAAAAGTTTAGGCTGGACTAGGTTACTGGTTAATCAACACCGCACCTGAACATGGACCTAGCAGATATGCCATAAGTAGCCAAGTAAGGCGACATCAAGTGCAACACGGAGTATGACGGGCCGTCAGGTAGTGCTCTCACGTATAGATGGGGCCTAATTTTTACCTGCTCGCGTGGACATTGGCCTGGAATTTACTGTAGGTAGGAAAGATAAGCGGCATCCCGCATAATGATAGGTAGCCATCGGATTAGGTTATTGTACATGGGTGAGGCCTCATAATCAGCGTCGTACTCGGAGGCGGAAAAAAAGCACAATAAGTATTCAAAATGAGTGACAACACAGAGTTATGGGTAAAAAGGCCCATCTTTGGTCACTGGATTAGACCACCGTGCATAGGTGTGTCCCCATAATCAGCGTCGCACGTAGATGCCGACCCAGCAGTTAGGATAAGTAGTCGAGGTGAGCGAAACGGCTACAGTCATCATGGTGACCGCCTTATGGTGGCCACCATATCTAGAGCATCATATTCGTAATAGAAATGATACCTGCAGCTATCTCGTGACAGTGTATTATCTACAGGCTAGTTGTACATAACTAGGAAAGGGATTCATCCACAGAGATGATCCTTGCATCTCCACTGCACAGTTCATACCATTGTCTAACAATGTTGTACTTCATGGGAGTTAAGATCCATGGGAAAATGTGTTGCGACCGGGTTCACCGAACACAATCATCTTATTTGTTTAATCTGAGGAGTGTTAAGCAAACAAACGTCAATGACCGACCTTCCAGGGTGAAATTCGCATTAGATATCCTTTGGATGTTTTCGTTCCTAATGAACACCGGATAACGTAAAAATATGCTAAAGTGCGATTTCGTGTTTTTTTCCGGCGTAAACCAGTGGCAAAGTGTGCATCGGTGATGGTACGTGACCTTGAGATTTCGCTCACTAAAAAAAACGCTACGAGCAGCATGTAATCTGAAGGGGCAAATGTATTGGACTAACTCCCTCGTTCAAGTCACGATTCCGAAAACCCTATAGTTCCGGCGAAAATGATTGGGTGTGCTTCTAGTCAGCGGCAAGCGCGCCTCAGAACTCTCTGTTCCATTTAAACTCCGCGCATTCCATGGGCTGTGCTTTCCAACTACTATCCACTTGCTCAGACTTACTAGGTGCTGAACTTGGAGCACGGAAACGCATACTGGTTACACAGGTAACTTCCTGAAACATTCGAACGCCACTCTGGTTTGTTTGGTTGTGTTCATTTGTTGAAAAATTCAAGCTGTGACTCTAGTTACCGTGCCCCGTTGCGATGTCATCGAGCGATGAAACGCATAATTTGGAAGAGGGGCAAAATTTTGAAGAGATAGATGACGAGGAAGCCGGGAAATATGACAGGAACGAAAGTTATGCGGAGGAGGTATACTGCCCCACGTTTCTTGTCTCACCCTTCTAATGATAGACATTACCGCGTGAAAGTCTTTCAAAAGAAATAATTTCGGAATGCATATCAATGCCATATCGACTCGGGTATGGTTTCTCGCACGCCTTCGTCAAGCTGGATTGTTCCGATAGGTATGTGTTTCGTAGATAGTCGTATCGCTTGCATCACACTTGACTTTAATTTTCAATTTTACGATAGATGATAGAAGTCCCTAAAATTCTACAGGACGACAGGTGTGGGTTAAGATGGAATTGAGCTAGCGAGTTTTCATCGAAATCTCAAACACCGTTATAATTTCAAATTTTCATCGCCATGTGGAAAGCAGCAAATTAACACACTGTACCTCTCGTGTGTTGAGGGGAGCAATGATTTTACTGGACTCTGGTAAGCTTGAAAGATGAGATTTAAGTAGTTCCAAGTGAAATAAAAAGACTTTGCCCCCGACGTCAATGACCCTCAAAATATTAGAACAGAACTGCTAAAATACCGGACACCCCCCTTGCGGATGATCGTTCACCACGCTGAGGAAATCGCGGTATTATTATAAGAAACACTCGTAGGAAATCCATACGGTAGTTGTGGATTTCAGTGAAACACTCGGCCGTGTGGACCCTGCTACGCTAACTCGCCGACGGCGGATTCTCGCAGGAGCTACACTCGATTAATTGTTTTGCACAATATGTACCAGATACTCGCCACGCCTTCTCGCCTCACAACGTTCACTGACGACCTGATGCAGTGGACTTCGGTGGTATATTCATGGGGCAAACAGGGACCACAAAATCACCTGAATAAGCTAGTCCAGGGGTGACGAATATACAAACTGCCTGCCGGTGGTTGGACTTGTTTTTGGGCTGAGCACGTCCAACGGCTACTGATGCAAACTTCATTCGATCTTGGTTTGTTAAGAAAGAGACCTCATGGCGCATATTCACACAACAAAATCACATGTTGCATGACTCAAGTTGTCTTGGGTACCTTAGGGAGCGTTTTAAACATGAAACTCGATGTGTTCTAAGTGTTGAACGGTACACTCATTTAGCCAGTACAAACACATTAGACACATAACAGGCGGTCGGCGATTTTTGTGTTAGGCACGGCGATCAAATGCACAAATGCTTACGGGAATGCCAGTGTGGTCATAAAAACGCAGGTATTAGGTCACGGGTGTCCTTTTTGGATAAAGGTGCCACAGAAGATACCTGAATTTTGCCTTCAGAGTGATAAAGCAGCAGTAGTTCCAAGAGATTGAGCGATTTTTCGGTAGCATTACATGTCTTATATTCAAGGGTTTACGAGTGGAAGCTCAAAGAACGTCAGACAGGTGGGCTGCCTCACTGCCATCAAAGTTTCTGGCGTACAACACCGGACCGAAGCGGAGACCAGTCCGAGCCAACAGTTTTAAGAGCATAAGACGTCAGCTTGGTTTGTATGAGTTCCAACTTGGGGGGAGGTTTCTGAGATCATGAAATGGAGAAGTGCAACCGGACTTTCATTATTGGATGGACATAAAACGGGTTTTGCTGTTTATTACAAGAATAAAAATCAAAGAAACCTGGGACTGGTGCTTTGAAGGGCTCAGAACATTTTTGAGTTTTTGTAACGCAAATCTGCACAGTTTCAAGCGAACAACACCGAGAAAACAACCGGTGGCTTTCTTGCAAAATGACTTCCATGGCAGGTGCGAAACTCCTCCGCTTCGGCGATGGAGTTCATCCGCACTACTCCAGTCTAAACATGGTCGGGTATAACAAAAATTCTGAAAGCAGAATGATATCTTGATTGTGTACAACTTTCTTCAAACCACTTCAGATGATTTGCTAATATTCTCAGACTATGCTGTAAAACTGGCTGCAAGTAATTAATCCAGCCGCGCACGAATTTTTTCCCTGACTAAAGCGCTTGGAGTCCACACAAGGAGGATCTGAGTGAATAAGGATCACCAAGTGCACTTCAGGTAGTGCAGTTCAGTACCAAACAATGTAATTCGATCGTGTTTTCATCAACGGACGGTTAGTCAGAAGATGCCAACTCGTAGTAGACCATCACAACAAGTATCCGATTCAAATGAACCCACAAAACAACAATTCTCTTCATCCCACCCGTTGACTGTAATCATGCTAGCCCCTCTCTAGTCACTGGAAGTGACAGTGAAGCTCAGTAGGTACAGCTTTATGAGCGCATGAGTGCCTTCATCAGGTCTATTAAATAGGAAGGCTGAATAAAAGACTACACAAACTGTACATTTAGGAATCCCGATTATTTAGTGTGAAACCTACTTTTAACCGTGCTGCTCGGTCAGCTCTTTTTCGGACTCACACCGTCCACTGTATTAATTTGTCTGGAGGGAACAAACGGCACACAGGAGTGTTTGACCAAACTGAACATACACGAAAAACATTTGTCATCCATGCTGTCCTGCAGCTCAGTGGTCCAAACCGTTCGTTCAGTTAGCGGCACGATTGCAGTTGACAGAGACAAATCTGATAGCTTTTCAAATCAACTGTATTTATGAATTCATCAATTTTAAAGTAATTAAACTTCGTCATGTATTACCACCAAACGGGGCCTCTTATTCCCTGCATACAGCAGGATGAGGAAAGCAAAAACTAGCTATTACCGACGCCTTTCTTTTTTCCATTTCACCCATTCAAACTTTTCATCCTCATCCAATTTTTAGCAACACCCTTTTAGGCTCGTTTTTAAAAAATGACATATTCGTTTGCCAATTATTGCTACCCATCGCCTCTAGCTGTTCTTTGTACGGTTGGCTTGACCGCCAAGCCTGTCAACACTTTGAAACCACCTTTCAAATCCTGGTGCGCAGTGCATCCGACGTTTGATCTTTAACGTTCAACGTTCGTATTCTGAAAAAAGTCGGTCAACAGACTGCTCTTGCTTGCACATTGGACTCGCTTTTTATCAATGTTTTTGTCTGTTTGAGACGAGGATTAAAAACCAAAATAGGGTTGTTGATATGACATCCCATCGATTTATGCTAATTTCTTTTCGCATATCTCTGACGATCCGGAAGCCGTTGCTGCTAGTTCTGTTGGGGTTGGCATTGTTCTAAACCATCGAGGATAGAGAGCACTGGTTACATGACTGCCCTTTGTGCGGTATGTTTGGCGACCTCTATGCGAGTATCCAGTAAGCAGGCCAGTACTCGCTGCCTTTTTGTTTTACCTGCTTACGTTCTATCACATTGTGATACAGTCACAGTCTTTACAACCCTTTTAGTGATTTGTTGCGTCGGGCTAGGAGCTGATGTTGTTATTGCCGGGATTACGAATGCGTAATTAAGTAGATGTAGCACTGCTTAAGCCCAATTAGGTAGTCGTCTACAATCGAAGTCAAAAGACACCAACACACGCCGGTCAGTTACTACTTGACGCTCATTTTAGTATGTCTATGCAGATTATGATCACTTATTGGTTCATTATTGCTTCTTGTTGAGCTATTCTGTGGCGCGCAGGATTTGCACACCTCGCCTGTCCACTGAGAATCTCCAGTCACAGTCTTTACAACCCTTTTAGTGATTTGTTGCGTCGGGCTAGGAGCTGATGTTGTTATTGCCGGGATTACGAATGCGTAATTAAGTAGATGTAGCACTGCTTAAGCCCAATTAGGTAGTCGTCTACAATCGAAGTCAAAAGACACCAACACACGCCGGTCAGTTACTACTTGACGCTCATTTTAGTATGTCTATGCAGATTATGATCACTTATTGGTTCATTATTGCTTCTTGTTGAGCTATTCTGTGGCGCGCAGGATTTGCACACCTCGCCTGTCCACTGAGAATCTCCTGGACACTTGTGTGAAAGAAAAACTACCAGGAACGTCTCCTAAAGTCCTGTTTGGATAATATACTTCGTGATGTTTACTTTTACTGGACGTTGCTGTTTAAAATTCCTCAAGCAGAGTGGTGCTCCGTTTTTAGAATAGTTCAACCAAGTAGGTCAGAGCAGCGGACATTGAATGACAATAAAGTTGTTCGTATTCCTTCCCGTCAAAAGTGAACTACTAGTTAACAAAAATTCCAGAATTTAGGTAAGAAGTAGTAACGGTGTAGATCTATAAGCCTAGCTGGTACAGAATATTGAAGAAATGGAAAAGGCGAAAAGCTCTTGAACCGTTCCAACTGACACGCGCAACCGGCTAAAAAAAGGCCTTCAGTGGGCTGAAAGATAATCGGTAACAGTCCGGGTTTCTTTTAAAAAGGTGATTGCGTAGATCCCTGGTGTAAACCCTCCAAGAGAAATCCAACGAGTCAACTGCAGTTGCTCAACCGCAGTCCCGACCTACAATACAGCACTGGACAGTAAAAATGAAACCCTAGGAGACTTAAGAAATAATCAACTGCCTTTTGGCTCTTAAGCGTCACTAGCCGCTGGTCCCGACGAACGTCCACTTTTTGCGCTCAAAAATGGAGATGAAACCGTCAATCGGTATTTATACAGCTTTTTTGCTTCGATATAGAAGAACGAGGCCATCCCAGTCAGGTGGAATGAGTCGGTAGCAGTGTTCGTGTTCAGGATTGATGCACGCAGTGTGTGTGTGGCAAACACAGAAATCAGCATGTTCCCGTCGTAACCAGACTGTTTGCTTCGGTTGTTCAACATTTTTCTACGAAGGGACGTGAATAAGCTGCCCGAGATAAGCAAGCATGATTCTAACCGAGAATAGGCTGCTTAGGCCACATCTTTACGCTAAGTCAAGTGTTCCAGTGACACAGTATGCATAGATGTCCTACAATTTCTATGTTACTTGACGTCCACATTCTGTTTGATTGTGTTCTCAGCACGGGCAAAAGCGAGTGCTCCAAACGTTCGTGGTCATCATGAGTTGTTCATCCTCACATACTTTTGGGTGTATGAGGGTGTACGAAGCTCTCTTCATTCGAAGTGATGCTAACTCTCCAATTTTTGTTTTAGTTGTTTAATAATGAGGTTGTGAGGCGAACACTGAAAGCTATTCTAAGTCTCGGTATCCAGATCTTTTTGAGCGAGATTCTTGTCGGCTTTGGATATGTAGACCATATTTTTCCCACTTTTGGAGAGAAGCAGAAAGTGCAAGCAGTGCTAGTATACCTTATGAAGGTTATCTGGTTTTCTCCATGTGCTTTGTGCCCACAAACTTCAGGACATGGAGACTTTAAAAAAATATTCAGGGAGTGAAACTGGATGTTGTGGCGCGCCATACTTATCTAAAAAGTCGCATATGCTCTGGCTTGATTGTGACGCACGACATCCGAGCAAGAATGCAAAGGGCCGAAACTGCGTTTAAAAGTTTGCGCCACTTGGGCTTAAAACATATCTCACTTGCCCGCAAGAACTCTTGTATCAGACTACAGTATGGGCTGAATTGGTATGTGTTATATCTGCTGATTCGCCGACCTCAAACGTGCTTTGATGATATCACGTTCGATGTAATCCGCTTTTTGGTTGCACTTTGGAACTTATAGCACACGTTTTGCTTTTTTTTTTGATATTTCAAGCGCATTGTTGACCATTACTATGGACTCTTAACTACAAACTCATAACTTTGACAACATGCCTTTGCTGATAGCGAGTAATGTGGCTAGCCCCCCCCGCTTTAACAAACCGAGAGGAGAGGAATTTCAGAGGGCCACCTGCTTAAAAAGCATGTATTCAAACACAATTAGCGCATGCTCAAAATGGCTCCTGACCGATCGTTTATACCCATGATTGATTTCTATACCAACCCGTTACATAGAGTGGCAAGGATACAACATTGTTACCTTGTATCAATGACGGTCCATTTGTTATTTCCAGCTTGTGGACACATACGATTGGACGATTCCTGCGGACCCATCTTTGAATAGACTGAGTTATTCTCATAGCTTTGCTCACTATGCGGCCAGCTGAATAATTTTCAAATGCGGTTTTTCCACGGAAACTAGTGCCCAATTGGACCCATCTTTGAATAGACTGAGTTATTCTCATAGCTTTGCTCACTATGCGGCCAGCTGAATAATTTTCAAATGGGGTTTTTCCACGGAAACTAGATGCTTGCCCAATTGGGCTGTTTCTCAGAATAGAAAAACACGATCATGAAAATGAAAACTTTAACTGGTATTAGCTTTCCCAATAAGTGAGAATACGCTTATATTCCGCACTGGAGGTTGCAGAAGATAAGCTGATATGAAAACCGACTCACCCGGTGAACTTGCTACGTCGATTTTTTGATGACTAAAAATATGCGGGCTCTTTCTGTTGATGGAGCTGTACTAGTTGACACCGTAACATATAGTCGACGCTATGCAAGTTTTAAATCATGTCAGGCATGAATTGATCGTCTGTATTTTCATAAAACGCGTTTGATCTGACCTCGGCGTTTTGGCTGACCAACAGCTTGAATAGTTTGAACAGTCTGAGTAATACGTGTTTCGGTCTCTTTAAAGCCGAAGTAGGTGCCCATTGTGGTAAGTATCCTTCACTATTCACAGTCAAACAATTGTAACGACCACTTACGGGCAGAGTCTGAGTCCAGAGCACATATTGTCTTTGCAACCAAACACAGTCGGAATGTTCCCTTATGAGAACCGTAGTTCCGGAGTGCAAATGTTTTCATATTTATTTCGGACGGAGTTAAAGAGCTCCGGAAGCGATGGCCACGCTCAACTCACGTAGTCACTGAATTTTGGTTGTCTTTAGATAGAACTACATGCTGGTCTGTTTTGGGAAATGAGCACTACTCTGCTCAGAATGGGGACTGTAATTCAGGTGCTAATGGTAGTCAGCGGTATGCATGTGAAAATAGTCAGGCGGTAAGAATAACGCAAAAAAATATTTGGTCCATATTTTTAGGTGTCCTGTATCCTGACTCACCCTAAGCGTCTTGGATTGAACGGTCAGAAATGTGTTTTTTGTCAGGCTGTGGTAACTCAAGCTTCTGGGCCCTGAAGAGTGATCGCGCACGAAGATATACCGATCAGTGAGCCTGCAAACCATCTCAAAGATTTTGCTTATCTTCAGCTGCATCTGACCTGTCGACAAAAATGTTCTCATTCCTTGTAAAGCGGGTGTGGACGTAGGAGGAAACCCTTTGGACAGAATTCGTGATGCTGTTGGGAAAAGCGGTAAAATGACCAACTGTCAGCGGCTTCAGGGAAGTTGTTGAGGCTAACTGGTGTATGGTTGTTTTCAACATGCTGTTAAACTCATCACCTGTTTGCAATACTACTGAAGATATAGAAAAGGAAAATGATACAAAAACGCTTGTTGTGGCTTCTCTCTCTAGCATTTGAACTTTTTGCTTCATTGAGGTGAATTTCGCAAAGAAGTTGCCGGCAGTCCTACTGTATTAGCTATGGGATGAAAAAGGACAACTAGTGTTAGAATGATATAAACGGACCACACGAATCCTCCAAATCACAGGCACCTATGTATGCCGTACTGGCCACGCAATGGATGTTACTGTTGCTGTGTTAATTTATAACTGTCTGAGCGTAAGCCTCTTTTTAACGTGCCGGGATGTGGAAGGCGGTTGTCCAAAATGTGCTGCAAAGTTTCGCACATGTAGATTCCGCAATGACATTTACGACTGAACACTGCACAGTAGTAGTCGTTTAAAGCAGATACCTGATGGCTTATTACTCTATGTGAATGAACCACGTTTCTAGACCCGATTGTAGGAGATTTGTCATGCTGTTCACAGTCTTTCTTGGCTCGTCTTCTTCGGTTTCAATAATCTCTTCATTCAGTTCCTTGCGGTATCAATTTCTATCACCATTATCGAGAGCTGGTTCGAGATGCTGGACATACGATGCTGGATATAAGACGCACCATCCGTTTCGGAAACTTCGGTTGCTTTTAGTGTCACGAAAAGTTTGCATAGCGCAGATGACGGTTCAAAATTATGGTTTTTGTTAGTTGAAGACGGCGTAAAAATTGAGACGCTCAGTTCAATACAATGCGAAACAAAGCTCAAAGAAAAGCTGCTGAGCACCTCTTACCTTAAAAACCTTTTTGGCCTTTTTTTGTTTCGTTTCACACTTACTGTTGATCGGTGGTCGCGGACAGAATCGACCTAAAGTCCTACTCCGCGAGCGACCATCATAAAATAACCGAGAAAATAGTGATGAGTGATGAACACGGTTGGCTTGGCTGATTGGCTTCTTTCGGTGGATCAGACCAAAGGCATTTTGATTATCATTTATTACAAGTTGGTCCTTGAAGTGACAGAATAGCCTATGATCTCACGTATTTTCCATCTTGTAGGCGTCTCTCGGATATCGAGATACTTCGTGGCTACATACATCTACGATTCGTTATCCTGACAAATAACTTCATCACAGACATTAGTCCAGTGTCGCACATTGGTCATCTCATCTATTTGAAGGCGGACAACAATCAAATTGAAAGGGCGGATTGTTTGAACAAGCTGCGATTTTTACAATACTTGGACTTATCTGGAAACAAACTTACTACCATCAATGATCTGAAGTTACCTTTCTTACAACACCTGAAGGTTAACGGTGAGTTTTGGGTCGAAGCTCATCTACGCAAAACCAGGGAGAGGTAAAAGGCCATGCACCAGGTTTCTTATCGGTCTGTAACTAGATATTAGTCTAGTAACAGCATACAGTAAAAAAAATTAGTACAAGATTGGCGACTGAAACACGCCTTGCCGGCGGTCTGGTTGGAATGTGGTACAGTATACCACGAAATGAACGGGTGCCATGTGGTTTAAGTATTGGTTAGCCTCTCACAAAGGTTTTTCACGTTGTGCAGCCCAAAACTTTCTAGCTCATAATTTATTTTTCTCCAACTATAGCATCGAAACTTTGAATTAGAGAATCCATTTGTAGTTCATCTACTTACCAACATCCGGAACGTCTAACGTTTCCGCGTTATGAATGACTGTATCAGTGAAAGGAAGAAGGCCTTTGCTACGGAGTTATTTATTAGAAAATATCAACTAAACAGTTACAGACTATTGGACAGGAAAGCAAACTCTCATATGCATCTTGCTTTCAAAAACTGAATATCCATCTTCTCTTTGAACGCATCTTTCTGAACTTTCCTGGATATTCATTGGCTGTTGCTGTAATCCAAGCAAATGCTACAAAGTGACTCCACAAATTCCACAACAGATTTCACTTTTTAAGAGACGCACAGCGAATTTACAAGAAGAAACCATACTACTGGCATGCCTCCCCATCAGTAGTATCGCCGTTACATTGGTAGCCGGAGCATAGCGTTTCTTTTCTCAGTCCGACGGCTTCCGTCTATTTGTAAGACAGGAACCCGAATATAAATCCAGGTGTACTGTTTTCTCTAGCCTTTACCAGGGCCAGAAATAATGAGCACTCGGAGTGGCAGAAACACGAATTTAACTTAGCACTATGTACTAACGCAGGAAAGAGGTCAGTATGATTGGTAAAATTGATAAGAAAGACATCATTTGGAACTACTCCATCATTTCGGTTTTCGGTCGTGTAACGGGTACTTCCATTGAAGAATGTGTCCAGCACCAGAAGCTGCGTTGGTTGGGACATGTGTTACGTATACCGAACCATCGTTTGCCGAAGAGAGTGCTGTTTTCCATGCCCAACTCAGAGTGGCGTAAACAGAGAAATGGCCAACCCTTGACCTGGCAGAGGATTATAAAGGAGATCGCAAAACGCTTGGGTGCTGTCGGTGCTACTCGCCTTCCAGGATGGGGACCGCGTGATCCTCACTGTACCTGGTTGGAGACACCACAAGATATGGCTGCCAACTGATGTCAGTGGCGTTCTTGTCGTAAGTTTCTATCCGGATCGCCTGAGTGAATGTCTAGAGGTGTAGACACCTCGGAATGATTGTGGTAAGCTAGCACCAAGTCCCTTCCCCGTCCACCTTTACTCTTTTCTTTATAATAAGGCTTTCAAATAAGTCATGGTTGTACGGCAGTGAAGCATCGGTATTGAACACTGATGTCATGCTATCGGTGATGATATTGATGATGATGATTCCATCATTTCTTGATAGAAGAGTACACAAAGCAGGGGCTGTCACATGAACGTCTGGATATTGTGTCATTCGGCGCTCAGCGACGCAATTTGCACCATGTGGTCTTGTGTGGACCAGCTCGTCTGCTGAAGACCTCAAAACAAGGCTCGTCCGCATCAAGGGATTTTCTCCTTGCAGAGCTGAAATAATACCATATTTTTCCATTCGGATTGTCCCCTTCATTCATAGAATGTTGGCGTAACACCTGGGAGCCATCTCTGAAGTACAACAGTAAACATTTAATCATGAGTGAATCCACATGTTTCTTTCTAAACAGTCGAATACTCAGACTTCACTTACCTGACAAGCAGATTCGTTCGTTCGTAGTCGTACTCATGATTTATAGAAAACCTTATTTGGGTTGCATAACTTTCGTACTTTCCACTAGAAAACGCTATTGGAACTTTGAATTCAACTGGATACGGTATCCCACCCGAACAGTTTCCAGCTTTGGCCACCCTTGAACTACGTTCCAACCGACTAACCAGTTTTGAGGGGATTGGCGCACTTACCACGCTCACTTCATTGTACTGTGCCGAGAACAGTCTGAAGGATACTTCTGGTCTGTCTAAGCTGACTGGCTTGGTACGTTTGCATGCACGTGATAACCGAATCTCAAGCTTAAACGGCATCACAGTCGCAATGTCAAGTCTGGAGTATCTCAATCTCAGGTAAGCTAGTAGTATTTTCAGTATCACGCTCACATTTCCCGTCAGTAACCCGAATACTCTTGCATGCCTTGTAATATGTGCAGATCAGAGGTCATTTTAAACAAGGAATGAAATATTTGTTCCCTCGAGGATGTGACAGAATGTGAAACCAGTTTCATCAGTTGGGCCAACTTTTAAGCCTAACTGTCTTGTTTTGCTGTTTGGTGAATTCGAATCTGCTTGAAAGAAGATACAGAGTGGATAGAGAATGTCTGAAGAGCAAAGCATGCGAATATCACCGACGATCTTTGATCGTGTTTGTTCATGCCGTCTGAGCCACATAATTTGTAGGTAAACGCCCTGACTTACAAGCTGAGACTCTGCTGCCAATCGCGAAACGCTTGGGTGCTGTCGGTGCTACTCGCCTTCCAGGATGGGGACCGCGTGATCCTCACTGTACCTGGTTGGAGACACCACAAGATATGGCTGCCAACTGATGTCAGTGGCGTTCTTGTCGTAAGTTTCTATCCGGATCGCCTGAGTGAATGTCTAGAGGTGTAGACACCTCGGAATGATTGTGGTAAGCTAGCACCAAGTCCCTTCCCCGTCCACCTTTACTCTTTTCTTTATAATAAGGCTTTCAAATAAGTCATGGTTGTACGGCAGTGAAGCATCGGTATTGAACACTGATGTCATGCTATCGGTGAGATGAATGATGATGATTCCATCATTTCTTGATAGAAGAGTACACAAAGCAGGGGCTGTCACATGAACGTCTGGATATTGTGTCATTCGGCGCTCAGCGACGCAATTTGCACCATGTGGTCTTGTGTGGACCAGCTCGTCTGCTGAAGACCTCAAAACAAGGCTCGTCCGCATCAAGGGATTTTCTCCTTGCAGAGCTGAAATAATACCATATTTTTTCCATTCGGATTGTCCCCTTCATTCATAGAATGTTGGCGTAACACCTGGGAGCCATCTCTGAAGTACAACAGTAAACATTTAATCATGAGTGAATCCACATGTTTCTTTCTAAACAGTCGAATACTCAGACTTCACTTACCTGACAAGCAGATTCGTTCGTTCGTAGTCGTACTCATGATTTATAGAAAACCTTATTTGGGTTGCATAACTTTCGTACTTTCCACTAGAAAACGCTATTGGAACTTTGAATTCAACTGGATACGGTATCCCACCCGAACAGTTTCCAGCTTTGGCCACCCTTGAACTACGTTCCAACCGACTAACCAGTTTTGAGGGGATTGGCGCACTTACCACGCTCACTTCATTGTACTGTGCCGAGAACAGTCTGAAGGATACTTCTGGTCTGTCTAAGCTGACTGGCTTGGTACGTTTGCATGCACGTGATAACCGAATCTCAAGCTTAAACGGCATCACAGTCGCAATGTCAAGTCTGGAGTATCTCAATCTCAGGTAAGCTAGTAGTATTTTCAGTATCACGCTCACATTTCCCGTCAGTAACCCGAATACTCTTGCATGCCTTGTAATATGTGCAGATCAGAGGTCATTTTAAACAAGGAATGAAATATTTGTTCCCTCGAGGATGTGACAGAATGTGAAACCAGTTTCATCAGTTGGGCCAACTTTTAAGCCTAACTGTCTTGTTTTGCTGTTTGGTGAATTCGAATCTGCTTGAAAGAAGATACAGAGTGGATAGAGAATGTCTGAAGAGCAAAGCATGCGAATATCACCGACGATCTTTGATCGTGTTTGTTCATGCCGTCTGAGCCACATAATTTGTAGGTAAACGCCCTGACTTACAAGCTGAGACTCTGCTGCCAGGAACTCCGTTGCTTGTCAGCAGATTATTTTTTTAATTATTTTTAATCTTTCCTCTACCTTTTCTGGCCCCAATGAACAATCGTGCACGATTCGCACCATCAACTTCACGTTGCTGCTTCAATGCTATGGTTGAGTAACTCAACTTCATTGATGCAAGAAATTGAAAGAACCTTTGAGCAATATGTTTGGTCCATCAGTCCATCACTAGGCGTGCTCTTAACGCAGAGGTGATCCCGTTAAATCTCGTTATTCCTGCTTGAGATCGATCCCCTGTCATGTATCATGAAATTTACAGCCAATCTCGGGTTTGCCATTTGTGCACCTGCTGGTTCAAAACCAAGTACAAAATAAAGTTTTGTTTATTTATTTTCTGTTTAAAAGGTGGTGGGTTTTCAGCGTAAGACCAGAAGTCACGTAGCTACTCACCGACATGGCAAAATGGTACATGTAGAGGCAAAACGTATCTGATTTCTACGCTCATATGTCTGCTACTCTTAAACGGTCGTGGACCTTCTGCTGAGAACCATCATGCGTATAAAGCAGATATTTTTTGGCACCGGCATCTTAAATGTTAACGTTTCACGCTGAGAAAGAATGGTTCCGGATAAAATGCCACCTAATTTTGGAGTCATCTCTTCACGTAGTATTACATTTTTTTTCAAATTATTACGATCGCTCCTTGTTGCTCTTGATTAATGTGGAGCTCACACTTAGAAGCACTTAGCACACACGAAGTTATCCAACAGAAACCTAAAGAACTTCCGAATAAATTGCGTTTATGGTATTTTCATGCTTTTTTCTAACTCGCGTTTTTAGGGGAAATCGGCTCTCCAGTTTTCGAGCCGTCAAATTGTTGTCGGCTCTGCCTTCCTTGAAAGTACTTAACTTACTACGTAAGTTTTTTCTCCCTTTTATCCTTTAGCCTGCACGTATAAATTGCCGGTTTTTAAATAATGGTTTGAGGTACATGGTATTCAGTCCTCGTTATGCCACCCGGCTTTTGACACTCATCGGCTAGTGCAGACGGTTTTTTTAATGCATCCGCGGTGACGCTACCTTTCTCTTGATAGTTCACATCTGCTACACGGAATGTGCTCAACCCATCACGCAGACGACGTTTCTCGTACGTGTTTTAACAGCAGATTTGTCGTGAAAGTAAGGTTGATGTGATTGGTTCCGTTGTTGGGCTTCGTCTTCTGTCATCGTATTCTCGGTGTGACTTCAGTGGACAACCGTGTGTAAGAGTTGCATCCACTTATTGGTCGTGTCACTAAACCCACTGAAGTACGCTTCTTGACCCTGAGCAGTATCACAATGCCTTCGGGCGGTGTAAGTTTCGGAAAATGCTGGCCAGAGGCATAATGAGGTCTAACCGTAACTGTTTTCGCCTGCAACCGTTTACTTATTCCAAGTTTAACTACTCCAACAGAATTTTAAGTAGCTTAAAATATGTAAGCGACGAGAGATTACGGGAATCCTGTTTGCATTGCCTTTTGCAGAAGGGAACACGAGGCGGCTTTTGTGAAGCACATTTAGTGGATGCATATAACTAACAGTAAAGCTATCCACAACTGTGGGTATTTTTCTAATTATGTCTGAAAAATGAAGGCACCAAGAAAGGCTGTACAAGTCTTTAGCAACCTTATGAGTAGTATGTCATGTCAATAAACATTCCTTTTTGGTTGGCAGTATGAATGGATGGAACTAAACGTAGCAGTTGATTTTGGCAGCTTATGGTCTTGGAAGTCTCAGGAAGTATATATTTCTTCTATAAGCACTCATTGACATCGCATTGCGTGGCAATACACGTTTTCCTTATAACCTAAGTCAAATTGGGTTCAGTGACTTGACATTTATGGAGTTCCTGATGGTTGAATGACTGGTCATTCAGAACTAGCCGCACTATGCGGCTAAGTTGCAAACTAGTTCTAAAAAATCCAGACTTCCTGAAACCTAAGAGGGAATAAACTGAGATGCGGAGCTTTTTCCAAAACGGAATTTGTTGGCAGAAAACTGCCATAGTATTCTAGCATTTTACGAAACGGGAAACCGTGTAACTTGCAGTCCTATCTGGAAAGGAGACCTGCGAACAGTGATTTCACTGCAGCAGTTTCTTTACTCTCATCTGGTTTGTTATGGTGAATACGTTCAGTGAGCAGCATGGGACGGGGAACCCCAGCTACGGACGAANAAGCAATACAAGGTGTTTTACTTTCTTCATGACTGATTGATAAGACTTAAATCCGAAAGCATGAATGTTCAGGATGAACTTTGCAAAAGATAATAATAGTGTACAGGGATCCCTCCGCAATGCCATTTCATTGTAGTTCACACTAGGTAAAAACATGGCGTAGCAACACATAGGTAAGCGCATACAGCAAGGAAATGCGCAGTGTCACACTACAATATTCCTTATAGTAAGTTGGGGTCAGCTGTTAATTAGCACAGTAAGCACGAAGAAGATGGATGAAGAAGATTGTCACAACAAGGTAGGTGTTGTATTTGAGAAAATGTAGTTGCATAGATGTGGATAGCCAAGGAGAAGGAAAATTTGAGGCTTCGGTCAAAGCAATGCTGGGATAACCACTATTTAAATCCGAGCGAACAATGTAAAATTGCCCTGCTGATCGTGAGGACATCTGATAAGTTCACACTACAGGATTTTAGAGGTTTTACTGGCTGATGACCTTTGCTGGGATACGTATAGGTGAGTTCTACTGGAAGGTCGGGCCAGTAACCTATACATATATAAAACGTGTGATTTGCTTCTGAAGATGATTCAGAAGGTGCGTCTTTCAGTGGAGACGTGGTTGTCTGAACAGCTGAAGTTACCTCAGTCAAGAGCCGCAGATTCCGTCAGCTCACCACCAGTGCACCAGACTGAACCACTCCTGCCTTCTACCCGAGCTACACATGGTTCTTTGGGATGAGTGAAGCATAGCGAGGACACTCATTTTTTCACTCCAAATTGCTCAGATTACGGTTTCCTATTTTTTACCCGACCCCACGCAGAACTATGCCGTTTTGGAAGCAGAGACATTAAAATGTATAGAAACACCTATGACTAAGACAGTTGGAGGACCCAATGGTATTCGGTCGACTCTTATCGAAGTTACTCAACACTTTCCACATTCATATTGGCAACAAATCCGATGGGCTGCTTCGTTACCAGGTCTCCTTACCATCTGTTTTCACCCTAATTTCTACTGAAGCCAGTTCTTCCAGAACTCGCTGTGCATGGCCTAAGGGACACCTTTCAGCCAGCGTAATGCGAACTTCCAGCTTTTACTAGGTGGTGTGTACAACGGATTGATGGGAATGCAATGACAAGCCCATTGAGACCTGTTGTGAGCCCTAACCTCATGGGTCAGCCGGAACACTCAACTGCAGATCTAATTCAAAAGACTGCTTTATGCAAAGTATTTTGGTGATACCGTGACCTTTTGCTATTCACCCACGCAGCTGAAACGACCGTTTAGAATATTTAGCCGGGACAAGATTTGGTTCGTACTCACGTTTCTAATGACTTTATCGAGGTCGTCACAAATGACTTAGGTTAGTTGCAACAAGTGTTTACGGCGGCCGGGTATCCGGCCGAATATAGGAGGAAATGCTGAAAAGCAGAGCCCATAGCTCCCATTGCTTTAAGTGGGCCAGTTCAACTTGTTTGCACCTTCGCCTTTCAAAGATGAAAGCACTCCTATAGTTAGAGGTAGAGGTATAGGAGGGAATGCTGAAAAGCAGAGCCCATAGCTCCCATTGCTTTAAGTGGGCCAGTTCAACTTGTTTGCACCTTCGCCTTTCAAAGATGAAAGCACTCCTATAGAGGTAGGTAGAGGGGGCTGTGCGGCTCAAACATAAAGTTCCACCGGGATCACTATCATCGACATTACAACATCAGTGTTCAACACTGTTGCGTTGTTGCCGCAAAACCATAATTAGTTGAAAGCCTACTATGAACGAAAGAAGTAAATTGTATGTCGAAATAATCAACCCATATTCAATGATAGTGATTCCGAGGTGCCTACACCTCAAGACACGTGGACAATCAATTGTATGTCGAAATAATCAACCCATATTCAATGATAGTGATTCCGAGGTGCCTACACCTCAAGACACTCAGCTGGACAATCTGGTGACAAAAATAACGCCATCGACATCCGTTAGCGGCCGCAGCTTGTAGCGTTTCCAACCATGCGCAGCGGGCATCACGCGCTCTCCATCTTGAAAGGTGAGTCAAAACGGCAATACTAAGACGTAGCGGCATGCGCAATACATTACCAAACCATTGCAGATTTTAGTGCTGGAAACATTCTTTAAATGAAGTCCGTGTTACACAACCGAACATCGGTTTTCCAATTGTGTCGTTGTGGATTCACTGGAAGTAGTCTATGCGAGCTGTGGTTCTGCGACGACGGTTTTTGATGACTTGAAAATATCTCAGTTCCGCTGGGCGCAGAGACTTCCAGGTTAGTTTTCATCACAGCGTTACCTGGTGTCCCAAGTACAGAAATCAATGATTTCATGCCCGCGTTTGACGTTATTTACGGTCCTACAAAAATCTGTGAATCCAGCTTTGGCACCTGTTTACTCGCCGTGTCTCATGACTTTTGTCACAGTGGTGCCTAGGAGCTGCCTACTACGTCATCGCAATTCATCAGAAGGAATCCGGACGTATAATACCAGTACTTGGTACCTTCAAATTCACTTACAAACTGAGTCAAACACAGTTTGAAAGCAGCGCGTGTTGCCACAATCAATAGGACTAATCCTATTCTGCGGACTGGGAAACAAAAGGTGTTATGACTTTACGACTTCATGACAAATTTTATTTTGTTGCTCCATCTCGCTATATGGTGCAAAACACAACTCCGGAAGTCCCGAGCGAAGTGCCTTTGTACTGGATTTCTCTTCCCAAGACTTGAATCAGCTGGCAACATGATGTGAGCTGTAGCACGCGTGTCTGTCTAATCCCTTTTTCGGAACACATGTTCACTTCTCATAGGTTCCATGCCTGCGCGTCAGTCACTTTTTATCTTCACACTGAGGATGAATCTTGGGTGATATGGTAAATTTAATGTTTTTTGTCACGTATAGTTGTACGCGATTGCCTCTATGGGTCGAATCTGTTAGAATCCTGTTTACATTCGAACGGCGATTCCACCGGTTCTAATCCCTGGTCAAACGCCTCTACGTATTATTTGTTGTGACCAGCAGCTTCGTGCTACTGAAACTTGACCTCAAGCATCAGAAGATTCATCTCGCGACATTCACCAACTGTCTTCCGATTGGAGCGGAAAATATAGTGGATACATTTGTTTTATTTTCACTCTTGGTGAGGTTAGTATGGCTTGATGACGTGGCCGTCACGAGTAATCAAAGCTGGTCTACAAAAGCGAACTTACAAATAAATCGGGAGCAGTGAGTAAAAACGTTTCATTAACTTCGTTCTTAATTCTGTTAACAGAAAATCCTATCTGCGACAAAGATGAATACCGATTGACTGTGATTGGCCTCATCAGTCGTCTACAGAAACTGGACAAGGAGCGCGTGACTGATTCCGAACGAGCTGACGGCGCATCTGTGGTCGCAAACAAGGTTAGCTCTCCGGAAATTTGTTTTCACTTCTGTATAACGATTAGTCACAACTTTTTCATGTCAGCCAATATTAGTTCTGCAGTCAGTTAGCTTCAAGGCATCCACAGAACAAAGATCCTTGTATGTCAAGCCTGTGGTCCCATTTTCAAAGACCATACGCACATGATCTTCTGAACTCCATGAAACAGTGATATCGAATAAAGATGCGGTGTTGCCCCGCCACACAATGGGAATGCGTAAATCACAGTGACTGGTAACCTCAGTTATCAGTAATCTATTTAGAGTGGGTTCGGTCTGTAGAAACGGTTTTATTCTTTCATTTTCCTCCTTGTGAATTACCCAACTCGACTGTGATCTTCGCTCATTGTAGAGTGATTGGGACGAAGACGCCAGTGAAGCCGAGGCGATGGAAGAACACCACAACGCGGAGGGTTTGGCTGAGGAAGTTGGTGAGGAGGGTGGAGAGGTTCCCAATGAACAAGTGAGTAGGATTCTTGTATAAGAAACCGTTTTTAGGCCTCAGTTTCAACGTTTAGATGCAGCCTAACGGAACCAAGCCTATTTCGATCAGCATATCAGAGGAGCTTTCAAGCCGTCAACTACTTAGTCTTCTTACATCCAAGGGATCACTAGGATTCCGCGGACTGCTACGTGATATTGTGCAGCCAAAGGTCGACGGATATAAGCCTAAATTTTACTGTGGACCACACACCTCTATTTTTCTTTGGCTTCAGTTAAATGCAAGAGTTGACGTGTGTAGAAAATTGGTTTCAGCGAGCCTAAAGAATGAGGTAGTCATATTCCACGATTCCGAATATCGACCAAATTCAGAACAATGAGTTTCTGTTTAGTGCTTATGGTTGGATGATCGCCTGACGGGAGCTCTGTTGTCTCCTGAGTCATCTTCATGACATAGGCTATGTGAATGAGGCGTATTGAATCCAGAACCAGTAAGCCAGGCTGTTTCAAGCTGTATAAAGCCGGAACCAGCTTTTGAATACCAGGAGAAGCTGACAGATGGCTGGAGCCGGTGGTTCTATCTTTACCCTAGTTTGTTGGTGTGTGCCATTCGATGATATACAGTGAGTTTCATGGCATTCCACAGCCGATTTTATTGTTACTGAGATAACCCCTTCTACTGGTTGTATCTACCATACAAGAAGAGACTAAAGGATCCAGAATGACTTCAGTATAGGCACTCTATGATTAACATAACTGAACAAATAAATAGAAAGGAACTAAATGAGCGAAAAGATGTGCAACTAACTAGATAGGCAAATAAATAAACAGGAGCACTAGGGGGTAAATAACTGGGCGAGAACAGAAAATTCGGAAGTTCTGTAGTGACGAAGGATGAATGGTTGCAATTTAACCGATGGAAGATAGAAGGCAGACAAAGGCTCTGGTTATTTTTGTATTTGTGCTTCTTCAAATGCTTGGTACAACAATCTTCTCCTAGAATGCACGCCCATTGGACCGAGCCAAGCCGTTCCGTCAGCGAGGAAGGGATCGAATCCCACTTAGAGATTGTCTCTTTGATTTTATATTTTCAGTTATTCCTGTCAATTTTCGCTGCTGATATAAAATATCCTCCATTCGCAGAGCATTGAGCCCATCTACGCGTTCGCCATTTCGCCATGGAGCCTTTAACTGGCACATTTTTCCAGATCGTTCTTCCTGCAGATATAACCTACTGGTCTTCAGCATGCTGATCTAGACTACACTAAACCCAATGCACTGTAACCCAAAAAAGCGTACTGATGACCAACTCAGCCAAGCAGACCAAAGTCATTCTTTGATATCTCCAGTAGTTAGTTGATTAATGCTTGGTATGGAACACTCAACATCTACTTTTAACCGACCACACAACACGCTTGGACGGAAAGGACTAAAAGTGAACAGATATTTAAATCATGCTAGTTTGGCTTTACCAAGCCAATTCTAATAGAAAGGAGAAGCGCTTGGCGGTAGGAATTGCATTTGGTCGTCTTAACCTACATCATGTATCTGTAGAGCTGAACATGAGTGTTGCTTTAATGTTTCTGCTACAGCACTTTTAATTGGATGACGTTGAACCCCAGCTGTGCACTTTTATGAAAAGTTGGCCTTCTCTGTTGTAGACTGCTTTACCCAAAGTTAATGCAGTGAACAAAATGGGATCGTCGTGTGACGAATCAATAAATCACTTAATTTATCAGATATAAACCACGTACCATGGGTGCATTAGTTTCTTCTGCTAAAGTGCTGATCATCGGAACGTGGGTGATTGCGGGACATACAGTGAAGTACTGGAGACGATCTCATGTTCACTTAGTTTTGGAACTGGGTAGCTACGTACTGAAGGCAATGGCTTTGGTGCGTGAGCACTAATGAACGCTCGATTGGACGATTTCCATCAGTGTGTGTGTTGAGTCCTGGAAGTTCTGAAGTTTCTAACGATCGAAACAGACGATAACAACGTCCCGGTCAAAAAACGATCTTTGAGAGTGACGCTGCTCAAGAACTCATCTCACAGGGAAGGTGCGATCGGTGCATCAATCATCTTGGTTCTAATGTATTTATCTTTCCCCATAATTGATTCCAGTGCATAATAGTGCCCGAAGTGATAAAAATATAATATATATTACAATATACATAAAAACCATATTATTAGAATTCCGATCCACAAGGCAGAATAAAGTTGAAAGGTTTTGTTCGAGAACCCTGCCATATCTTCTAACTCAAATTTTGACCCACGAAGCAGCGGGCCGTTGGGTTTCCTTTGAGGACCTGCCAGGATCCCATGCTTCGATAGTCTGGCCTGCTTGATTGCGGGCAGTTGACCTAACCCAAAGACGCAGGGATTAAGGCATTACTGTCTCAATTCTGATGCAGTTTACACAGCAGGTGCCTTTTGGACAGCAGCAGTCCCTTCGGTTTTAAAATGATTGTGATCATAATAAATAACGCGCCGGTGTTCACGATCAACCATTGGACAATCGGAGTTTGCGGGTATTCGTGTCGACGTTTTCGAACCCGTCCTTCCACGGTGGAAAACAGCATTGCTGCTTCTATAATTACGGACATGCTGGTCGCCTGGGAGATACACCTCACTGCCTCCACATCTCCATTGCGGAGTACCGTGCGACTTCACCCCGGGCCGCCTCGTAATACGACTTCTGGCAGTACGGGCACTCATTGTGCTTCGTCGGACTGCTCCTCTTTGGCCTTCCTCGTATAGTTGAACCTTTAGGAACTGAGTTTCACTCCGTAGAGCCCGCAGACTCACTGCAGCACAGAAGCCCGACCGCCGCAACAAGGTAACAGCTTAAGATCGGGGTACGCATGACGATTTTATTGAGCTGTCTGCTAAGGATGATCACTGTTCTTGATCTATGGACTGGCACACTATACTGTAAGTCATCCCGAGGAGTGAAGCCGCAAAATATAATCTTTTTATCAGCATTTTGAAAAAAAAACACTGACTTGTGGTGGGCTGAACACTTGCCTTTGCTGTCGATATTATACTGGTTCACTATAAGATTAACAGTCATACCCGAATGGTACCGGGTGCGTTTGAGTTTGCCCATTGGACTTTTACTGATAGACCTTCAGCAAATATTTAATCCCGCTACCACATCTAGATTTTGAGTCTTTTGTCGAATGACTAAAGGCTGTGTTCGTTTGAACTCCGGTGAAGTGATGCACCAGTTCCCGCGACAAGCAAGTCTGTTGACATTCTTCTGTGAATCTGGGGATATATTTCCAATTAGGATTTGTACTTTCTCTCCATAAGCCACGATACCATTAGGACCATTTTGTTCAGCGAGCGAGTGTTTTTTCGTGATGCACCAGTTTCCGCATTAAGCAAGTTTGTTGACATTCTTCTGTGAATCTAGGGATATATTTCCAATTAGGATTTGTATTTTCTCTCCATAAGCCACGATGCCATTAGGACCATTTTATTCAGTGAGCGAGTGTTTTTTTCCATTCTTTATTTGGATTTAGCAGCCAGCTGAAGATCAGGAAGATGAAAATGCGGAAGAAGAGGGTGAGGGGGAGGAGGAGGAGGACGAAGAAGACTAGTTTTTCATGGACATCGATGCTGTTTTCCTATCATACCTCCCATCTCTGGTACACCAATTGTACAGTGATTGCTGATTTTGCTTTTGAACCCGGTTTACTTTTCTCTTCACAAAACGCTGAAGAAATTCAATCCATACATCTACTGTATCAACTGAGAATCAAATAAATCTGACTTATTTTCGTGCGCTTTTGTGTTACTTGCTTGTAGATACGATGGATGAAGCCTTAATTAGTGACCTAAATGCGCATGATCTCGATAACTTGACATGAGTTTTATCTAAAAGGATTACCTCTCTGGCTTTTTACAAGTACTCAATGGGCATAAACGACTCCGTCCATTCGTAAAGTTTCTTAGTTTGAACCTGGTTCGGGCTATCCTTATTCAGGGTGCTGCGCCTTCCAAATATGGAGCACAACACTCGCGGAGTTTCGCGCACATCGAATCGGAACTAGTCCGTGAGTAACTGCGTTAGATGGTGCATTGAAAAAAACGCCGTCAGAACAGATTGACTGATCGGCAGTTGACTTTTCTGGCCCGGATGATTGGCAGCTCCCCTACTGGGATTAGTAAGTTTCGGGCATTCTGGGAGTATTTTAAGTAATCTAACCTTCCTGAAATCTCAGTCATTCAACCAAGATCGTCCGGAACTAGTCCGTGAGTAACTGCGTTAGATGGTGCATTGAAAAAAACGCCGTCAGAACAGATTGACTGATCGGCAGTTGACTTTTCTGGCCCGGATGATTGGCAGCTCCCCTACTGGGATCAGTAAGTTTCGGGCATTCTGGGAGTATTTTAAGTAATCTAACCTTCCTGAAATCTCAGTCATTCAACGCAAGATCGTCAGCGTCGGTTAGTTTGAAAGGGCTTCGTCTGTTTTCTGACGATCTCGGTCTATTGTCTCGGTTGCAGCACTCTGTCCGTCATGGGCGGTATAGGTAAAGCGATGGCTACTGGGGATGGCTTTGGAAGGTCAAAGGTTAAGTTCCGGATTCCACTTTGGGATCGGGTACTCAGTCGGTCATAACTAGTTGACATGCTGCTTCCATATCGGTTATTCCACCCAGATGCTATAGATCACCTGACCGATCCTCTGAAGATGACTCCAACAGTCTATTTTCGGCACTCAGGGCAATTATCTATCACGGGCACACCGTCTTCAACCAGATTGTTGGTTTTCTTTCTGTTGGTGATTGAAAACACCTAAATGTTTGCAAGATGGCCTCTTGGTAAGTCAAAATAGTCTGTTTCTCAGCACATCTACTGGGGAGTGACTGCCAGGAAACTGTGGATTAGGATTTACGGCTTCGACTACTCTTAAAAATTTGAGTCGGTATTGATTTTGTCAATTGGTAATTTTGAATAACGCAAACGATCGATCCTGTCTATACCCACACAAAAGGCGAACTAGATCGCTTACCATCTCCGTCTCACGATCAAATCCAGCAACCAAATACAACTTGTCTCCTGATGCATTCCTGATGGTGTTCATTGTTGGTCTATATCCCAGTGATTCAGTATTCTTCCACATGCCGGGGGAAACACCGTCAGAAGTCGCATCGATTTGTAATTCCGTTTGTTCGATTGTGGCCTACTTTTGACGAACGTCGACCTGGTTATCACAGGTTGTAAGTATTGTGTTTAACCGGGATTCTGGCTGTCTCTCTGTTTTGCGATTCTAGGTTTTGTTTGCGTGTTGTACTAGGTTTCCGCGTCCGAAACTACCTTCCCTCGTATCCACATTAATAGCAAGCCGAAAACATGTGCTTTTTATAAGAACAAAATCGCACAAAATGTCATCCTCCGCATTGCCAACATACCGACGAGACTTTGTTCCGTCTGAATTTACCGCCACGAGAGGCTACGTTATTTCCCGAAGCAACGCGACCCCAGCGGACACTCCCGGGAAGAGTCGTGGTACACAGTTGTTACCGACATCTTGTCAAAAAGATGTCATTACCGGACAGTACAAGCCCTCGCTTGTTTTGGGCTTGTCAATCGCTTTGAGCGTTGTGCGTGCAGTCTGACCGGTATTTTCTGGTTACTGTAGCAACCGTAGGACCTCAAATGTGTAGCACTTTTCATGTGTTCCCATTCTTTAGCTTACTTTAGTGCGTTTATTGCACGTCTCAGTATCAACAACCAGAAGGTAAAGTAACAATCTCTTGTTAATATGTGGTCCATAGTTTTTTTTCGGAGTGAATTTAATTCGGAACATAGAATGCCGACAGTAACAACCTTGATGTTTCTAATTTAGTTCAATATGAACTCTAGAATGTTTCATATTGCTACGGTGTTGCTTGTTTGCCTCCATCTATTGTCACCGCAACCACCAGTAAACTACCTGCTCCACTCCTACCAAATTCAGTTATGCTTGGTGCAGAATGAAAGCCACTCTGTGGATGTGGCCACTCAGAATTTACCGTGAACTCCCACACCAATACCTAGCGTGTGATCGTGCACTGTTTCAACAGCTTTCTTTGGCGGATGAGTACTCGCCACTGATCGATTCCGTTCTAGACATCCAACGCAACCGGTTTCACAAAAAAATCTAGCCCGCACACTGGAAAGATTCTTCATTTAAAGGAAGTGGATCAATCTCCCATTGGAAGCGACTATCTTCAGAACAACTCAACTCTCCTTTTAAAACAAACGTTTTAAGCATCATTCTTATTTGTTTCACAAGAGCGTCTGCCCTTCCAGGACAACTTCTGGGAGTAAGGGTTGGGGGCAAAGGGCAGTACTGATTCACCGGTGCCAAAATTGATTTTTACCTGTTGAGTGCTCCCTAAAGTACAAGACTCATGTATACATTTCTTGGGCGCTCTTTTCGTAGCTTCGAAGGTTCGTTGAAAGTAAATTCGATTAGACATTATTTCGGAAGCCCCAGAAAGTGATCCCAGCATGGTTATCTCTAGTTTAGGGAAAAAGCGGTTTTTATCTGGAATTACATTGTGGGATAAATCTTGTGGAGATTTCTTCCTAAAGCTGATTCGTTGTGTGACCGTCACCATCAGTGGATCAAGAGCTGGCTTTTTGGTTTCTCGGTTAGCATCGTACGCCAAAACTATATTACCGACTCATCTTCTTTATCGATTGGTCGAGCTGACAAACCAACTATCCATTTAACATGAACGACAACTGGGCCGACAAAAACCATTTTCCTGTATAGGAAATTAAGTGTACACGAAATAGGTATTGAGGTGTGATACCTTGCTTAAGCAGCTGCTGCCTAGTTTAAACAACGCTCCAACTGTTTACAAGTAGTTGAAAAGTTCTGCCCAAAAATTACCGGACCGAAGTTTCATCTGATTGCCAAGGTAAGGACCCCGGCTTTCTGAATAGGTCCAGGTCTAAATGCTGTCACCAATATGGCCAGACTCAGTTCGTTACTATCAGCTTCTTCGGTCCTCCACCATTCCTATGCTCCAATAAAGATCGATTGTGGACATTCGACAATATGGAATGGTGTCGATCGCTGCTTAAGTCTTCTTCTCCAGGTCGGTCCATTTTGTCAAATCCGAATACATCTAGTTTCTATATGGCTCACTGTCTACTTCAGACTGTTTATTGTAACAATGTGACCTTAATTCTTAAATCGTACCCAAAAGCTGGTTCGCCCTCAGTATTGCATGTTTACTTAAAATATCATTTACAGGTGGACAGAGTTCACAGATGCTGTCGTGACAACATTTCGTCAACCTGAAATCATAACTTACGCAATTGTTTCATTGCTTGCAAAGCCAGTCATGAAGACAAGTTTTAATTTGTGGGACGGTGGGAAAGCACCAGTTTAGGTGTGCATATTCTCCTCAGTGAGTGACCGGTAGGGAAATCTACCTAGTTCACTGCGGAAGTTTTGTCGAGTCTAGTGGTTCGTTAAATAACATACCATTGTTGTACGCGGTCATTGTAGTTATCCGGTGAATTCGAGCAAGAGGTGCATTTGATTCCCATCGCCTTTCAAAAGTAAACCTGTTCTGGCGTTTTTGTCGAAAGCTTTTGATAACTTTTCCAATATTAATTTCAATAAATATCACGACAAAATTACAGACATGAATAGATATCCGTAAATACTGTTTCAAGAGTGAGGCTTCTTTTTTGGTTAGGATATCCTAGATATAAGTCGTGTAAACTGTTGATTTCTATGGATACACTTGTTGACTAATGTTAGCTCAAATCCAAAATTTTATCAAAGCATCTGGTGGAAATGTCATGGCGTCCTTGATTAGAAGGAATTCCACATCTTTCTACGGGCAATGTTCTCACCCCAAAGCAAGACTCACTTTTGTCAAAATATTCCTTCAAAGAAGGATTATCGGTTGTTCCCAGACTTGTCAGTTTTTAGGGAGCTGACGTTATCATTTTACAAGCACAGTATCGATTAATCTCGGTTTTGTGCAGAAAAAACCTTGAAAATGATGTACCAGGTACAGATACATAAAATAATATGAATACTCGAGGCGAATGTTAAAAAAACTATTTAATTAGTGAGAGACGGAAAACTTGAGTGGTTCTCATCTTGTCTGGGCGAATTTGTACGAGTACTTACGTACCAAATACGGCGCAACGTTCTAGTTTAACCACTGCTGTTTAATGTCTTGGTTGTTTCCCAGTGATCCTAAATGACAAGTTTATCCCACAAGAATTCGGTTGTATTCAATAAAGATTCCGTCCTGTCAATGGAGCCAGTTTGTTCCGGAAAGTCGAGAAGTACTGTGCAGCTTGTTGATCCCTGTTGGGGATCATCAGCAGCGCGCATCTCACGAAGCTCAGAGGATTTTGAACGCGCGACCATCCGGCCACTGGTTGAACACTTAACCGTTTGACTACAAGAGGGTGACCAGCAGTGTGATTGGCTCCAAACTACAGTGCCATTCACCGTTCAGTCAGGGTAACCACATCACGTGGTCACGTATTGACTGGCTCCTCAAGTGATGACTTCTCACAAGGAAGTTTTACTAACCTTGTGAAATTATTATTCGTCTGAGCAATTTATTGATCGATAGTGGTATGAGGAAACTCACATCACCATGATTTGTTTTTAGTTGGCGTTTCGTAGCCCTTCGTCACTGCGACTTCCACCATGTAATCGCGTGAGCGTGTGTGTGTGTGTGTGTGAGTGAAATGTACAGTCAAGACCCCAAACCTAATTTTAAAAAGCTAGCCTAAATTATTGGTGTTTT